GAAAGCTTGGTAAGAGCCCCCTTTTATCTGTTGTCATTTTTCAGTCTCATTAAATCCACAGGAACTTGCCCCAGGCTGAAACCCTCAGGGCAAGTTACCCACGTGGTAATATTTTCCCCACCCAGGATTTGGTACCTGTACGCAGGATTTGGTCACCAGTAAAGATTAATTCCTCCTCAGAGGCGCTTCATGTTTCCGTACCAAAGTGTCCCACCACCTCACCCCACCTGCTGGAGTCAGGGGTGAGGGCAGCATTGGCTGCCAGAGAAAAGGTGGAGACGGTCACAGGGAACGGAAGTGAGGTGTCTGAAGAGAGATTTGGCAGGACTGGTCTTGTTTAGTGTAATATGTTTAAAATAAAATACAATGTTTATTTTAAGTCAGTTTTTAGGACCCTGTGTGGTTTTGTTCTGACACCAGTTTTTCAGTTCTCTGACAATAATCAGGTATTCAACAACTGAGTTCAATTCTGACTTGAACTCCCCGGAGTTTAGTACAGACCCCCACAAGCCTGCTTCAGTCCCACAAGACTGCCTGCACGTCAGATTCAGATGCCAACCGTAAGGGGGGTCCCCAGCCTACACAATTATGCCCCGCAGATTGTAGACTGTAGATTTTGGGATTCCATTGACTCCCTCCTAGTTTGATAATTTGGTAGGATGACTCACACAATTCAAAAAGTGCTTTACTTAACCATTACTGGCTTATCATAAAAGATACCACTCAGGAATAGCCAAATGGAAAGGAAACATGGTGGGGTTGGTGAGGCCTTCCATGCCCTCTCTGGGCAGGCAATCTCCCAGCATCTTGGTGTGCTCATTAACTGGAATCTTTCCAAATCCCATTATTTAGGAGTTTTTATTGAGGCTTCATTATGTAGACATGATTAATTAAATCATTGGCTATTATGACTGAACTCAATCTCCAGCCCTTCTTCCTGTTCTGGAGGTGGGATGTGATTGAAAATTCCAGCCATCTCATCACAAGGTCGGTTCCTCTGGACAAGCAGCCCCCATCTGAAGCTGGCTGGGAGCCTCCAAGTAACCTCATTAAGCGTAAACTCAGGCACAGTTCGGAACGTTTCTAATGACAAAAGGCAATCCTATCACTCAGAAAATTCCAGAGCCTTTAGGACATCTGTGCATAGAACTGAGGACAAAGGCCATACATATACATTATAACAGATCTCTCCAAGACATTCTTGCATAAATACCTTAGCGTTCTGAGTTGGAGAGGGGTAGGTGGAGGATAAGGGACCTTCCCCATACGACTGGTGTTCCGGTTGCTCTGAAGTCCTCGTTTTCTTGAGTCCTTTCTTTCAAATTACAGTGTGTCTTTGGAATGTGTCCTATCCTCTGTCCACAAGGAAGGTCCTAGGGTTGCAGGCCCCTCCCTCCTTCCCCAAGGCTGTCCTCTTCTCTTTCTGCAGCCCTCCGTCTTCACCTTTTTCCCTGCAGAGCTCTTCCTGCTTCCTTGTGTGGACAGCATGGGGTCAACCCTTCTTCCTCTCCAAGTTGTCAGTGGGCTGGGGAGGGTTAGTTTCTGCTGGTCTTGACCGTAACTCTCAGAAGTCTAGGTGAGAACATCACACTCTGCTTCCCCATCAGTGCTTAAAAAATGAAGCCCAGACACCTTACACTCACATTCAGCCTCCCAACCTTCCTTCCAGCCCTCTCTCTTTTTACTCCTCCACTGTCCAGCAACAGGCAGCCTGGCCTTTGGGTTGCCATCCTTCAAACATCCTAGGGGCTTTTCCATCTCTTGTCCTTGATCCCCAATGGTCAGCTTCTGTGCCCACTTGTTCCTTCAGTCACAAACATTTATGGAATTGCCTAACTGCTAGATTCTGTGCTGGACACCAGAGGCTACAAGGAATGAGGCCCTGACTCTCTTCTTCCTTTTTAACAAGGGTCAGGCAGGTGGCAGGTCCTCCTGCCCCCTTGGCACCTGGCAGCACTTCCTTGTTTGACATCCTTCAGGTTTCTGTGTCTCCCCAGTAGAGGCTTAGACGGACTTCCTCCATACCTGTGTGCTAAGTGTTTGCCTCAGAGGACAGCACAGTCTGGCCCCTGCTCTACTCTCTGGTGGGTCAAATGCATGAGAAAGAACAGTATGCACAACCGTGCACAGGAGGGCAAACATTAGGAAGGAAACAGACAGGTGCTGGGATGGGCCATGGGGGTGCTAGTGTACATAGCATGTCAGAGCAGCTCCCCACCCCCCCATCCCTCTGACCCTGGAGATCCCACAAGGTTGGGCACTGTGTCATAAAAACTGTTTGTTGTATTTATTTCCACTTATGAATAGATTTTCCATATAGAAGGGGTATTAGAGGGATCACCTGACTCGAAGGACTTGGAGCCCAAGATAGAGGAGCTTCAATAATCCACCCCAGAAAAAAGGCAGGGGGTGGGAGAGGGAGGGGTTAAGAGAGGTGTCCCTCCTGTCACCCTTGGCCATAGCATGCCTCTATCTTCATGACATTCTTCTGTTCTGTTTCATTCTGGAGGAACATTCTGAGGATGGGGTAGCCAGTTCCTAGCAATTTGAGAAGGAACACAGGACATCCCGGGGCCCGGAGGTGAGGGTCTGCCCTTCAGGATACCTGCTTTCCTTATCTAAAGAATGGTTCTAATAATAGCATCCACCTTACAGAGGCAAATGGTAGGAGTAACCTGCTTGTTCAGGAGAAAACTGACTATACTCAAAGCATGGCCACACTCTGGTGCTACTGCCCAGCTCACCATTTCTAACAGGCCCAGCCCCAGTCTAGGCAGGGCAGCAGGTGCAAGCAGTGACACTAAAGAATGATTCAGGCAGGCTTGGCCTGGTTCTCTGTGGCTCATGACAGAATTGAGAGGAGAATCACTAATATGATTCAGTGATAACATTGCTGATGGCCCAGGGGTGGACATGTTTGGAGGACAGTGTCTGTGGTGAGCACAGGAATCTTCGCAGAAATTTCTGTAGCGGTAGCAGGATGGAAGGGTTGAGTAAGGGTGGTGGTGACATGGATGGTGTCTGGGCTGGGCTGGTTTTATGGAGATGGGATTTCAGGAGCTTGGAAAGCTGAGTATGTGATACACAGGTGATTCCAGAAAGTAATTCTAAGATAGCATCCCTGCCCAGCCCTTCCTACTTCTACTAAGGGGAAAGAAGAAAGCAATTGCCTTATAGAGCAATCTACATATGGTAGTAATAGGGATATTAGTAATAAGAATATCAAATGCCCCAGTCTCCAAATACATGCAGTCTATTCACTATAAGGAATTAACTTGTTGGTATTTAAATGGGAGGAACCAAGATGGTACCTCAGTAGTCAGGCTTCTACTTCAGTATTTCTAGAGCATCAATGAGATAAGACTGTCAAGGAGTCATTTAAAAAATGGATGTATTAGTCCACACCCATTTATTCACTTCCAGACCCACAGCTCTGATCTTAGTAATTTTCTTTAGTCCTTTTCTCCTGAAAGAGCCTGGGCTCTTGTCACCACCCCACAAACTCTCAAATTCCTCTAGGACTAAGGTAGCAGGGAAATAAATGAATAAATGGAGGAACAAATGAGTGAAATAACATACATAGATAAAATGTTTACCTGGTGTACATTGTATTCTCAGTGAATCTCAAGGAGGCAGTTGGTGGTAGTGGTTGAGAAAGCAGGCTCTGGAGTGGGGCTGTATTGGAGTCCAGTCTTGCCACCGACTGATGTGTGACCTTGGGTGTGTCACTTAATCACTCTGTGCCTCAGTTTCCACCTTTGTCACCTGGAGCTAGTAATACCACCAAACTCATAGGGTGTTTGGGCAGATTAAATGAATGAATCCATTTAAAGGCATAATATGGTGCCTGGCACCTACTAGACATTCAACAAAAGTCATTACATAAAATCACTTTATGAATTTATTCATTCAGTCAGGGATGAATAACTCTCATGCTTGTAGGCAATTAGAATATATTAGGGAAGAAGGGGAGCTGAAGCCTGACCTAAAGGGGAGACTGATATTAAGAGGAGTGTGGGGCCAGCACTTTGATTTTCGGAATCTTCTCTTGAGAAGTGCCAACCCAAGTCACAGTACGGCTCCTAAAAAGGTAAAGGCCTTTTATGTTTTCTCCTCAAGCCCTTATTTATTCATTTATTTCTCAAAACCCTGCTGTTAGGTAGCATGGGCCCTTGGCCAAATCTTGAGTTGTGAGGTTTGTTATGAACCGCACCTTTCTTGCTCCATTGTAAGCCCTGTACATAACCAGCTGGCCTGCGCCCAACTCACCTTTCCTCTGAGTCCTGCGTCCAGTATATTTCCCCCATCCCAACCTCAAAGAAGGGTCTTGAAAACTCATACAGTGAGCCGGTGCGTCACTCTTCCCAGGGCGAACTGGCAATCAGCAGAGTGACTCTGCAGAGGTGGAATTTGGGGCGTCTGCAAGAAGCGTAGGGGCGGAGCGGGGTCTCTCCGGCAGACCTTGTCTCACCGGTAGGTGGCGGTCTATCTGCGAGGCCTGCAAGGTTCCCGTCCCGAAACTTGAACGGGATGTGCGTTGATGCGACTGCACGAGAACACAGCCGAGTCTCTTCGAGCTGGGCTGTTGGCATCCGCGAAAAAGTGGAGAGAAGGGAGCCGACTCCCTGCTGGAGGGACTGAGGGACTCAGACACCAGGAGCTTCATCTGGGAAGGCTTCAGGACGGGTGAGTAAGCAGCAGCGGACGGAAAAGGGAGAGCTGTCCTTCTCTTAGGGTATTGTTGTTGACTTGCATTGACTGGCTTTCCGACCCTTCGGGAAAGATCTTTATGAAAGAGAGCTGCCTAATCAGATGGAGGGAGCGCGGGAAAGAAACCCAGGAAGCAGCGCACCGGTCGCGATGCAGCGGGAGGAGCGCACGTTCCCTCGCGCCAGATGGCGCTGTCTGGCTTTCCCTCGGTCTCCCGTTCTAGTCTCTAGAGGACGCCAGCCGCAGCGGCTGCTCTAGCCAACCGGTGCGGGCTCTGTGGTTCCGGGCGGAAGTGAGGCGCCGAGCGGAACGGCCTCTGGTGACATTTTCTCCGGGCGGCGCGGACGAGTGAAGGGACTTGTTAGTGGAGGCTGCGAGATTCGCTTTGGCCCTGGCGGGACTCTGACCGCGACCCTCTGCTCGCCGCCGGGGCTTGTGCTGAGGAGGAGAAGGCGGCGGTGGCCGTTGCGGCCCGAGTCACCGCGGCCGGGAGAGTCCCGCCCCGGGGGTCGGTGCGTGCCCCGACGGGGCGAGCGGAGTAGTTGAGGAGGTGCGGAGCTGCCTCCGAGCGCAGGTGAGGCGGGAAGGTGCGCCGGACCGTGGCCCGGCTACAGATTGAGCCGTGGGACCGGGGCGTGCGTCCCTGGGAGGGGTCAGGTTGAGTCGGAGGGATACGGGCCGCGGGTAAGAGCTCTGCGGCTTCTGGGCGCCGGGTCGTGACGAGCCCGGCTGGCTGGTGCCGGGGGTTCTCGCCCCGACTTGGAGGCGCGGGCCGGGTGGGCGCTGACGAGAGGGGCGGAACAGCCCGACCTTTTGCTTGCCCGCCCGCTGGTGACCCTCACGTCCTCCTGGCCCTGCAGACTTGGAGGACCGAGCCCCTTTTCCCTTTCCTCGAGCCCTGCGGCCCGGGCGAAGCGAGGTTAAGTCCTTCCCAGGGGCCGAGAGGAGGCTGGTGGTGCCGCAGCCCCTGGGCCGCCCGGGGGAGCGGCTTTTCGGCCCTAGAGTTCTCTTCTCACAACTTTCCGGAGCTCCGCCGGCGGCACCTCTTCCAACTCTGTCAGCTCCGCGAGCTGGACTGTGGCGCCCACACCTGTCTCTGCTTTTGAGCGCTCGGGCGGTCGCCCCATTGCCGCGGCTGCGGTGCCCTAGGAGGAGGGAGAAAAGGCTTTCTCGGGCTTGGCGCCGCCTGCCCTCGGCGCTTCCACTACCTTCTGTAGGCAGACCCCTCTGGTCGTGGGAGTGATGTGTCAGTCTCCAAAACTGACCTCTTCTGGCGAGTTTGTCAGCTTTATTTAGAAAATCGGCGAGGAAATTAACTGAAGAGCCCCGAGTAAAGGATCATTGTCTTCTCTGAGTCTTCTGGGAAAGTTCTCTTCCCCATTAGCACTTCGTACTTTCTGCTATATTTCGTATAGCACCGACCTCCTTGTGTTGCTGGGGCAGCTACCAACAGAACCTCATTTCATTCATTCTGCCATTTAAATCGTCCTCTCCGCTGTTGCAGAAAAGATTCTCACAGGTTAAAATAATTAATGTCTTTATTCGTTCTCCCAGATTGAACCAATTGAGCAGTTTATGGTTTGGATATGCTTTTCATTTCTTGCCTGAGTTTTGCTTTCTGAATCCTTCGCCCAGTAGGATGAAAATCCTACAGACGATGGTTTGTCAAGGTTGGGCCTCTTACTTAGATTTGGCATATTAAAGACGTGAACTTCGGAATAGCTGTGTACAGTTTGAAAGGCAGGGAGAAACTTTAAGATAATGCCTATTCTTCTCTAGTGTCGGTGGGCACATGTTAACAGTTTGCATTAATCCCATTCTTCAGGTACTTTAAGGTTGGAGGCTATTAACTTTATGATGTGCTTTGGCAGATCATGACAATCTGGATTCTTCCAGAGCATTGCCTTTTGGTTTAACAAGCGTAAGAGGCCTACAATCGGTAGTTATTACCAATGTTCTGAGGAGTCTCAACTCTAATCATTTTTTAGTAGAAAGCATAATATTTTGGCTGCATAACCTGGCTGTTCCAGTAGTTGAGTGCTTTATGCATAGTAGGTGCTCGGTAAATATAAAATTATGAATTAAACTTGATTTCAGGACACTAAGATGAAATTTACTGCAGTGTTTAAAAGGAACCTTGGTGAATTTTCATGCAGTTCCATTAAATGAGAAATAAAAGTATTTTTAGGTATTTCTAAATTTGGTTGCTTCAGAGGGCTTTTCAATACCACTGTAATCTTAGAAGTTGGAACTATGTCGTTTTCATAACGTTACCATATTAAAGACGTGAACTTCAGAATAATTGTATACAGTTTGAAAGGCAGGGAGAAATTTTAAGATAATACCTAAAGCATAAGCTTAATATGGTTTCTTAATGGAATTTTTTTTTTCTTGACATCTTTTTGTGAAAAGTGGGATGGACTGGATTTTGGAGGTGGAAACTTTCCCGACTGTTAGCTTCATATTAAGTTCATATTGTAGTTGCCATATTACTAATTCAGTTTATATTTTAAATCCATTTATGAAAGTGTTAGTAGTGTGTGTTTTATGGTCTTGATGGTTAGTCCAAGCCTGAATATTGAAACTTTAGATTTTAATTTTATTCAGTTCTTTTGAAACTGAGTACTCAGTGTATGTCCTTCAAAGGTTTCTATTTCATAAGTGACATTGGTATCTCTAGGTCTCCTTACTATGTGACTAGTAACTTCTGGGAGATTGTGTAGTCACTCATTTATTCAAAGAGTTGTTTTGCTGGGATCTTCAGTGTTATGGTTTCGTTCTGACATATACATGAATAGACTTGATACGTGGGCAGTTAGAATGTTTTTGTTTTTTCTTTTTAAAGTTTGGAACTGGTATACATTAGAGATCCAAACCTTACATTTGTATCTTTGGTAAACCATCTTAGACCTTCCTAATTTTCCTGCATGTAACTAAGGACATGCAAGCATTGTATATTTATGTTTACTGAATTGACAGTACTCCTTGAGAAAACCTGTAAAATATGAAAAAATGTGTTATGAATGTGTTTGAACCATACTGACTTAAGGATTCTGTATTAGGGAAGAGTTTGGGCCAAGGAAAGTTTCTTGGGTATCTGTAGTTATATAAATGACATAGACATGTTAATAACTAATAACATAAGGTAAAAAGCTATGAGATGATATAAAGGGGGAAGAGCTGCTGAGAAAACACAGAGAACAAAACATTCAGGTAGAACATCTTTATTCTCATACTGATTTATTGATTGCTAACTGTGTGCCAGTAGTGCTCTAGTTGCTAGTGTTCTAGTTGCTAGACTCTGTAGAATCAGACTGACAGGGTTCTGATGCTGCAGAGTTCAACATAATTTTCAGGTGGGCATTCCAGGCTAGGAAACAACCTAAGTCAAGTCATGGGTATCAGTAGTCTTAAATGGTTAAATGTGGCCAGTGCCTTGAGTTTACAGAATAGGTAGGGTAGAGAAGGTAGGACCAGGTTTTGAAAGTACCTTAGTCTGCTAATGAGTTACTAATTTTCTTTTTTTAGGGGAAAAATATTCAGGTGGAATATGAAGGATGGGATAGCCATTCCATTTGAAAGATTTTCCTTGAAGTTTCAATGAGTAGATATTTTATTGGTTTTCTTTCTTTATTTTGGGTTGATTCTTGAATATCAGACTCAGTGATTTGATAGTTATTTTTATTTACTTGTCAAATTCCAGTGTTAAATTAATTTGACTACTGTCACGAAACATTTCTAAATCCTTTTAGGCTTTCTCTTTAATTGTACCTACTTTCCTTACTCTTTCAGGACTCATGAGTGAACTTAAGGAAAATAAACTGTTTTCTGTTTTGGTTTCATGCTTCTCAGCAGCAGTGGGATTGATGTTTAGTTAGTTTTCACACTCGGCCTCCAGGTCCTTGTGTTGAAAGGAAGGAACAGGGTGCAGCTAAAAAGTATCTTGCTTGTTTCATTCTCTTGTATATTACTGAACTTCTATGAGAGGAAATGTGTGTTGTATATGGTATACATGTTTCATCATAACGTTAGCAGCAGCGGATAATAGTAAATAAGATTTTAAAATATAAAATAACCGTTATGTCTCATATTTGATGGTTGTCTTGTGTAGGATTTGTAGTTTTAACTTAAAGTGTTTAAGTTTTGTTTCTATTCTCTTTCATGTCTTTATTCAAAATAGGGACTCATTCCTCTTTGCTCAGATTTTGTCAGTTGATCGCCAATACAGATGGTGTAAATCCTGTAATTAATTTGACTTTATTTAATTTTAAAACTACGTGACTGAGTGTTTTCTGGTTAAGTGAAGGTTAATTCAAAAGTAGAAGTCTGTCTGCAGAACTTATTTGTGTATGGGGCTATTTATACCTAGTTAAATAAAAAACCCATTTGCTTGAACATTAGGTGCCAGGTGGAGATTGGTATGAACCATTTCTACCCAAGGAACTCAAATCTAGTGAACCAGATGATTAAGTCTCTTTTCTGCTCCAAAGAGTGGAGAAGAAAAGTAGGCTGTACGTAAAAAGAGTACTGTATGGTAAAATAGCTATAGTATATAGCCTTTTTCTTTATAAAATCATTTTAAATAAGATATGGGGAGATAGCATTTTTCTTAAATGGGTCTCTTAAGTGTAAAAGAAAATGATGGAAGATTTGAATGTTCTTTTTTGTAGTGCCAGTTCATTTCCAAAATACTTTTTCCTCTGCCTGGAATTCAAGTCCGTGTGTTAGTGAATTAGTTCTGATTGTTGTTCAAAGAACAACAAAATTAAATCTGTTTAAACTTAGTTTTAGGAGCCATTCCCAAGAAGGTGGGTAAACTAGGATCGTGCTTAGGTAATCTAGAAATTTAAGTTTTCATTAGAGAAACAACAAGATACTGATAGAGGGACCAGTAGAAAAAGTTATTTTTTACTGAGTTTATGGTTTAAAAAAAAGATAACTTTTATGATGTCCAGAGTCAGCATTTTTGTTAGGTGCCTTATAATTAGAGAAAGATATTGTTGGGGATAGGGAAGTTGGGTGTGGACTTAAACTTTAGGGGAAACAAGGACTGTTTTCCTTTCTGTATTAAGAACAAAACCTCATGTGATTAAGATTTTAAGCAGCATCCTGTCTGCCTTAGTTTTGACCTGCTATAGAAGCATCGTTTATACTTAAATCAACATTTTGTCATCAAGGGTTTCCCATTTTTCTCCACTGCAGTCCAGTAAACAATTTGCTGTGAGCTGGAGAGCATGTATAGTGGATAGGTTTTTGGCATAATTTCTTTTAGGGGCCTCAGATCCAGCATTTCTTGACCCATGTATGTGTACTGTCTTCTGAGGGAGTTAGAAAATGGCCAGAGCAGAAATCTTGGTGGAAATCTAGAACCTATGTTTTAAACACTGATGGTGCTTCTGAGTGCTTAGAGGGTCTCTCATTAGCCATGGTGTGTTCTTTGCATTTGGTAACTTCCTTGGTTTTTACTTGATGATAGTTTATTCACAGCCCTGGAGCTGGGCCAGATACATGTCAGTAGTGGTAGTATCTGCAACATGAAGTGATTTGAGCAGTCATTATCACTCCTGGCCTATT